CCCTCTTTGGTGCCCTGGGGGGCCCAAGGCCGGTTGTGCCGGGGGCAGCCGCTCAGGGCTCTGCTGGCTACCGGAGCTGGGCTGCGGGTTGCCAGGTGATTCCCGTACAGGATCTGGACTTCTGACTTTGTACAGGGACAAACCACTGGAAGTCAGGGCTGTTGCAGGTCACCCTGGTCTCAGCAAGATCACAGCTGTATGTGGTGAAGGTGATATAAAGAAGGCCAGTGCTCTGTGCAATATTAATAGCCCTTTGGGGAAACCAGTGCAACAGATTCTCCTCTTTTTTGTGTCTCCACTTAGAGGGAAATGTTTATTCTGAAGCTACTGCAGTTACTTAAAAAGCAATTAAAAAAATCCAAATCCATGCCCGTTTATCAAAGTTCCTTGACAGCATTTTTCATGAGTCTTCATTTTTCCAGAGTGTGTTTGGAAAATGAAAACTTCGGACTGCATTTGGCTTGTCTTCGGTTTTGGTGTGCACGGCTAGGTTTGGGACGCATTTATGTAACGTGTGATAGAATTTAGTCACCATTTGGTGATGTTCTGCCTTCACAAATAAGAGCATTAGTATTGTAATCAGATGGCAAATAGGCCAAATGTAACTGCTGGCAAGCAGCTATGGTCAGGATTGATGTCGTTTCCAAATGTTTCCATTTGAAATTAGCATAACGTTTTAGTGGATTATTTAGCGGGCTTTGTCTGCTTCAGCTTCATTCAGAAATTGATTCCTCTATTGTTGTGCTTTAGCTGGTTTTTGTTTCTTCATACCTTTCTCCATCACCCTACAGAGAAAAATCAGAGAAACGGTGCCTAAACCCCGCAACACCTTCTTCAGTAACCAGCAGCGGTGTGGCAAGGGTTCCCCCTACTACGCACGTAGGGCCTATCCAGAGTATTCGTGGCAACCATGCTGCAGGTAAGAAAGAGGAGCAGAGGACACTGCTGTGCTCCCGGGGCTGAATATGTTCTTGCGCAAGAGCAAGCTCATTCCTATACTGCTTTTTCACCAACCTGTTGTAAGCTTTATCTTCCAAAATGCCATCGGCTTTATAGGGAGCAATCAAAAAGTCCGATTCCTGCGCGTATGGAGTGCAATAAAAAGTAGTTGCCCCTTCAGGGCTTCTGTGTGAACGGCCGGCTGCGCTAGTCAGCCACCGTTATGCCTCCAGAGTCCTGCTTCTTAGCCGATGCCTGTCACTGTACATCTTGAGCATCACCGTCTGTTAGGTGGTGTCATGGAGCAGTTGTAATGAGGTCCTGTCAAGTAGGTGTTACCCCTCTCGTTGCATTCCCTGACTGCTCGCACACCCTTTATCTGCAGAGCTGCGAGTGGATGTGGATCAGCCAGCCCACCCGCTGCCCCGAGAGGGCAGTTCTTCCGAGTACTCCAGCTCTTCTTCCAGCCCCATGGGGATCCAGACGAGGGAAGAGAGCTCCGACAGCGCCGAGGAGAACGAGAGACGTAAGCAGAAACCACCAAAGAGGGTGGCTGTGTTGCCCAGCTTTGCCTAGCGAAGCGGTTGTATTTATAGATGTTTCTGTCCCTAGGTTTAGAGATTCACTTAGACGGCTCGGAAAAGGAGAAGCCAGTGATGTTACTGAATCATTTCACTTCGAGCTCTGCCAGACCCACGGCTCAGGTCTTACCAGTGCAAAACGATGCAGGCTCCAATCCATCCGGCCACCACGCTCTGCCAATGCAAATGATGTCGGCGGCCTCTACTCACATCACCCCCATTCGGATGCTAAATTCAGTGCATAAATCAGACCGTGGCAATGCAGACATGAAGCTGCTTTCATCGTCTATGCATTCACTTTTATCTTTAGAAGAACGAAATAAAGTTTCTCCTGGACCTAGGGGCAGCATAAAAATGGAAAAGAGCTTTGGCAATACAGTGGTGGACGTAATGTCTGCATCTTCTCCCCACCAGCCCTTGCAAGTGCTGTCAGGGGCTGCTGAGAACAGCTCACCCACATCTACTATTAACTTTGGTCCTCGAACCAAAGTCGTGCACGCTTCGACTCTGGACAGAGTGATCAAAACAGCACAGCAGCCAGGATTAATAGTAGAAACGAGCACTGCTGCCACTGTAACATCCAGCACAGTCTTCCAGTTGGCTCGTCCACCCATCAAACTCCTGGTGTCTTCGTCTCTTCCTACTGACTCTGCCATTGCCGGACAGACTTCCTGCTCCAGTAATATGCAAATAACGGTGTCCCCTGCAATAATAAATCCCCGGACTGCTCTGTACACCGCCAACACCAAAGTTGCCTTTTCCGCAATGAGCAGCGTGCCAGTGGCGCCAATGCAAGGCAGCTTCTGCGCAAACAGTAACGCAGCCTCCTCCAGCAGCCACCCCTCCACGTCATTTGCCACCATGGCGAATTTGCCCAGCTGCCCCGCACCCAGCTCCAGCCCCACGCTCTCATCTGTCGCTGAGAATAACTTCTACAGCAGCAGCAGCAGCAGCAGTAGCAGCAGCAGCAGCAGCAGCAGTGGATCCGCAGGGAGCATCCCGGTACCAAACCAGAACCATCACCACCATCACCACCAGCAGCAGCAGCCGCAGCCGCCCGGGTGCATGGTGTGCAGCTCCTGCGGGTGTAGCGGGAACTGCGGTTCGAGCGGTATGACCGTCAGCTACGCTAACTATTTTCAGCACCCGTTTTCAGGACCTTCAATGTTTACTTTTCCATTTCTGCCCTTCAACCCCTTGTGTAGTAACGGCTACATCAACACGCAGCAGTACAACAGCAGCACGACTTTCCCCGTGGTCCACACCGCCTACAACAGCGGTATAGCACCGGACTCCGTAATGACTGGGCAGTCGACGTTCGCGGTACCGCCAATGCAGAACTTTATGGCAGGGACGGCAGGGGTGTATCAGGCGCAGGGAATGATGGGAAACAGCAATGGTTCAAGTCACAAAAAAAATGGGAATCTCTCCTGTTACAACTGTGGGGCCAGTGGTCACAGAGCTCAGGACTGCAAACAGCCTCCGATGGATTTCAATCGACAAGGTAAAAGCAGGCGGAGGGACCGGTGCGGGACGCAGGGCTGGCACGCGGGGCTGGCACGCAGGGCGTTGCGTTTAGCCAAGGGGAATGGCTGCGTACCCCGAGGGCAGGAGGGAGGCTGACGGCGGTGCCGTACCTTTGCATTTCTGACTCGCGTTAAAAAAAAACCCCGTTCTTGAAAGCTGGTGGGTTTGAGTGGTATTTACAAAAGTTTAAACTTTTGTGCAGACCCAAGAGGAGGACAGGGCCCAAGCGAGGCCCTGGGCCGGACCCGGGCGCTGGTTTCTGGGAAGGGGAGAAGCGCGCGCCGCGGGAGGGAGGGAGGGAGCTTCTGCACGCCGGCTGCCGAGGAATTGCTGCTGCGGCTCGTCCCTTGTCACCCGGGTCGTCCGTGGGTGTAACTGCACGTTCCCCGGGAAGTTCACAGCCTGAACATCTCCGTTCCCCCTTTCCCTTCCTCCCCAAAGTAGTAACATAAATGAAGGATTACTGTTGAAATGCTCTCGAAGGTCCCGTGTTCGCTGCTATACTTATTTTGTGGGGCGTGTTGCTGGCCTGGTTACAGCACGGGCTTCTCCAGGAGAGACCTGAAATCCTTAATTCCGGGCAGGAAACAGAGAAATGTTACTCTACCCAGAGCACTTTCTAGTCCCATTTTTCTTTTCTATTTTGATTGACATATTGTGTTGAGATAATTTGCACGCGGTGTAGGCTTAAAAAATTAAATACCACCTTTCGACTGGAGCGAACAGCAGCGAGGTCTTACATTTTACGTTGTGTCTTGGCTGTAGTGTAGGACTGCATTGGTTTTTATACGGTGCAGACAAGGTCTCGAGTATTTGACCACTATAAATGAACAAGTGACTGGTTTTGAGGCAGCAATTTACAGCAGTGCTAAAATGTAACTAATTAATTGGGTTTCTGTGGCTAGTATTTTGATAGTGGTTGATGGGGAAGAAGTGACACTGCCTCGTCAATCCTAATTCAGAGAACTTCAGAAATGTAATCTGCTGCCTTTTTAAGCTGAATTTCATTTCATTAATTAAATTCCCATTTAAACTATCCCAAACGAATTTTTGCCAGCCCTAAAACTCCATCTAAGCTGGTGACTTTCCCTGTGTAAAACCGCGCTTTGATTTTTTTGATCGCCTAATAAGAAGCAGGTTGTTTCAGAAAGTTCTGAGATGTAACGCGTGTGAGAAGGTCGATGTTGTTTAATTCTTCTGTTTCCTCTCCCCCAGGTACGTTTAGGCTGAAATACGCTCCTCCCTCGGAAAGTCTTGACTCCACAGACTGATATTTTATCATCTGGCAAGAAAATACTGTAAGCCATGGAGATAAAAGGAGATTGAAACACAAAACTGAGACGTCCAGTTGCTGTTAAGCTTAATGTATTTTTTAATCCAAAGGTGCTTTACTTTATTAGACTAGGTAGAAAATCTAGCTTAGGGGTGCATCAAACCCATTTTCGATTGCCAAATTCAAGCTTGGATCTTGTCGTTGGAACTTCTGACGGCGCGTTGTAGGACCGATGCGTACTGGATGGGTGGTGGAGCTGGCCAGCGGCATTTTCCGTTGTGAGTACGACACCCAATGTACTTTTTTTGCTGGAGAATGTTGCCGTACGCGGACTTTATAAGGTGAAACGTCTGACACCGGGGCAGCTACATTCTGAAGGGGAAGCTGGAGGCTGAAGGCAGGAGTGGCCGTTCGCCAGAAGGACTTTGGCACCCCTGGGCTAGGTAAAACGTCTACTTTTTTTCAAAAGTGATCAGGCACTAATCTCTGGGATTTTTAAGGATTGCACTACAGAAGAATGTAAAACTCTTCAAGCTTTCTGCACTTTGAGCAGACAGTGTCACTCTGAGACCAGTGCAAGAGGCAAAGAAGTTCCAACTTTTACAAATTGGCACCAGCAGGCTATGTGACTTAACTACACAATAAAAATCTTAAGTCAGTCTCTCCTTTCCCTTCCAAAAGAACACACACGGCAGTTTCGGTTCCTTCTGGAAACAACCTTGTGCTTCGTTGTCTCATTATTACTAGATAGTGCTGGGTTCCCAGCAGTGAATAAACTTAGTTTCCAAGGGTCCAAGTCCCAGAGACTCCAGAGTCATAAAGGCTTCAAGGATATTTTCCTGTAATACACAAAACAACCTTTACGTCCTGTTACTGTATATAGGTCTCTTTCACAGAAACCTTATTATTCTGCTTTTGTAAATGAATTTTAAACCATCCTAAAAAAAAAAAAAAAACAAAAACACAACTCTGGCAGCAGAGTTTGTAAGCTTTTGCTTTACTTTATATAAAAAAACCCCTTTGACTCCTACCCCAAGGCTTTTGCTACAGGATTCAGAAGTGGTAGAAGTCAAACATGTAAAAGGTAGTAAACTTCATTATTATCAAGACTTTGAAGGATTTCTTGTCAGCCTCCTTCGTTGCAATAGATTGTAGATGACTAGCTTTGGTGTTAACTACTTAGCGTACATAATTTGTGGGTGACAAACCTAAATTAGGACTCGAGAGGAAGCCAAACAAATCTTGAACTGTTAATTTGAAACAGTTTGGTCCTGTCTGGTTGAAAGAAGATGCTAATCCTCACGGCTCACCCGCGGAATTTGACAGCGTTAAATGGGTGAGGCCTTCTCTTTCAAATGTCTGACACAGAGATATTTGCATACCGTAATTTGGAAGACACCTTTGAAGTCTGAAGCCTTGTTTACACTTGGAGGTATTTCTTACACCAATTTAAACCACACCAGGATGAATAGCGTTTGTGGTGGCGCAGCCGACTTTCGCTCGGAAGCGAGGGAGGTCGTAGCCGAGAAGGAGGTTTTGAAGCGGAGCGGAGCTGCCCCGAGGAGATGGGGCCTTAGCAGGGAAACGTCAGTGTGAGGGGGTCACGCAGCAGCTTGACGGTCGAGACCCTCCTGGACCATGTTTATAGGAAGGAAACGTTCTGGGCCATCCTTCAGCCCCGCTTTCGCCGTGGGCGATCGTCAGCCTCGCCGGGGAGGCACGCGGGATAGACGAGCATCACCGGAGAGGCACCGTAACGTGAGATGGCCAGAAACCAAACTCGGTCCAGGTAGCGATCTGCAGCTCGTAGCGGATTTGGCTTTGTGGAAACCAAAATCTAAATTTGCATAACGTTTGGGTTTAAAAAAAAAAAAAAAAAAAAAAAAAAGGTAATTTTTCTTCCTATGCAATGAAAAAAAACCAGATTTGTGTATTCTCAGCCCAGCTGGCGCTGCCCGCAGCGTTGCCCACCCCGTCGCGATGCTTCGGTTCGCTCTGCCTGCCTTGGAGGAGGAGGTTACCCGCGTTCTCCCGACCGACCTTCAGGCCTGCCCCACGAACGCGAGGAGAACTGACAATGCCATTTACTTTGCCTTAAGGAGCTCGAGACAACGGTAGGAACAGCCCGTCGCACTGCACCGCGCTGAAGGAAACGGGCAGTTTTCAGTGACGGTGTTCACTATTTGCAGCTTTGAGGGTCTCTCCAGTGGCCTGGAACACGTGCTGAAAGCCAAACCTTAACTTTTTTTTTTTTTTTTTTCCACTTTTTTAAAACGATATTTTAAAACTGAATTGTATTTAAGTAAACTGTATTTCAACACACACCCAAGTGTTAAAAACCCTCTCAAAATAGCAAAAATCAACAGGAAAAAAACACAAATAATTTCTGTACCAGTTGCGTTTTGTTTTCATGCCCAGGGCCGGGCACGTAGTCTCGTCTAATATTCATCACAGAGTCGAAACCGTAAGAAAAGGACTGGAAACGGAGCTTCTGTCCAGCAAACTCTTTCATTCCTTTCTTCAGAGCTTTCTTTGGGATTGTTTCCTTTGTGTAAAGTTAAGGCTGATGTTTCTTAAAGCGGCCTATGTGTACTTTTAGGTAAGGTTTTTACGTGAAGTCTGGTTTTAGAGTCAGTTCCAATTCGGAAGTTTTGAGTACCGTAAAGCAGCGCCAGTGTAACGGAGAAACGTCGGATGAGCCAGCAGCAATTCCAGAGCCTTCCCGAAACCAGAGCGAGTCGCGGCTCCACATCTGCTAGCGAACGCTGTCCCCTTTGTACCGAGAACGACCAAAGTTGGTTAAGTCCGAACAAGCACTTTAGTTCCACAAAATAACCCTTAAATCTGTTTTTTAAAAGGCACAAATCCATCTTTCCCCGACCCCCCCCCCGAAAAGTAAGGCAGCTTGTTTTAAAATAGTAGTTCCAGCTTCACCGGCTGAAAGAACCAGTTCTTAAAACCTATTTTTATACACTGAAAGATGGAGATTTCAAAGAATGCTATTTATTCCTATCTTTGTCCTAAAGGTATAAAAAGAATTCGTTCTCAAAATGGTTTCCACTGTGGAACGGGAATGATTTTGAGATGTAAGACAGAAGGGAATCCCAAGCCATCTCCCTGCAGGGGCACGGCGACGTTGGCGATGGGCCTTCCCTCGGGGGAGCGAGCGACGGGCGGGCGCCGCGGCGTTTTGCATTCGGGAGCGTTGGTGATGGAAACGCTCGAAATAGGACGGAATTTCCAGCAAACTCCTCCTCGCGCCGGCAGTCTGCGGCTTTAGCATTAATAAACAGGCCGGGCTCGGTGCTGAACGGCAGGAGAGGGAAGAGGGAAGCCGCATTTCAGCAAGCGAGGTATTGATCAGAGAGTTCCACGATACTTCTTAAAATAACAGGTCACACTCCACTGTTTGTGAAACTTTGTCACGCCATGGTCATTAAATCTTGGCAAATTCAGCGCCAGACTTCTGAAAAGAACGGTCTACCGCTAGACCTTTACCAAAAGTCTGTGTCCTGCCTCGCTGGCAAGCTTCAGGGTGAAGGTACTCAAAAATTCAAGGTTGCGCGTGGCATTCGGCGGCAGAGCATCGCTCCTCCCCGGAATAAAAACGCCATCGCCCGCAGCCCCCGCGTACGGGGTAGCGCTCTGTTTGTTGGAGGTCACGGACGCTCGGAGCTGCGGATTCGGGGCGGCCGATAAACGCGATGGGCAGAGCCGGACAGAAATCCACGTCGCTGAGCGCTGGCGAGAGGCTGGAGGAGGCGGCTTTTGCTGGTCGAGGCGCCGGTAACCCTGCCCGCCGCCCCTGCCCGCCGCCCTCTCTTGGCATCAACCCTTGGAACCACTCGTTTGCTCTCTTAAACTTTCCTTACGCAAGCAAGCAACGTGTTGGTACGGAAGCAGAAAGCGAATCCTGTGTGTTTTCAAGTGCAGATTAACAGCTTCTCTTGGACATCACTTTCCACTAGGAATGAAGGAAACTCCTGCTCCCATTTGAGCCATTTCTTTTACTTCGGTCAATTCTAGTATTACAAATTGTGCATGTAACTTTATAAATATTTTAAATAGTTTTGTAAATATTTAATATTCAGCTAATTTGATTTTGAATTGTAAATGTCAAGTATTCTGGTATTGGGATTTTTATGTTTTATTATACTTTGTTAAAAGTAAAATTGTACATTTTTAGAATGTTTTTATCTGAGTAAATTTAATGTATGGAAAATAAAGAGTTAAACAGAATCCCTTTGTATTTTTTTTTTTAATTTAAAGGGGCTTCATCCGTGTGGGGGCTTGGCTTCTCCAGCTTGGCGGATTTTTTTTTTTTTTTAATTCCCTTTTATTCCTTTCGCTGTCTCCCCTCCCACAGACATCTGCTCCCGAAGCACAGATCTGGTACAGCGCTCTCCTCTCCTTGAGGCGGCTCCCGTCCTTAAACCTTTTGTGGTTTTGGGGTGGTTCCCGAGGATCCTGCTCGCGAGAGCGTCGGGATCCCGAAGCCGCGAGGGAGCGCTCGGTCGAGCGGGAGCAGCAACGAAAGGGGGATATGGAAACCCACCCCCGCGCGGGCTCGCCCCGGTCCGTGCCCGTCTGCAGAGCGGAGCTGTCGTACAGGGCGATTACACCCGAAATTCCTCCTTCCGGAGGGCGGCTGCTCCCTCACCGCGTTGTTAACGGCGACCGGTATCGGAGGCTGCGGTACAGGCGTCCAGGCGGCGGCAGGACCTCGTTCAGCCCCTCGCGCGTCCGCAGCAGGCGGAACAGACCCCTCCGTGCCCTTCCCCACGGAGGTTCGACTTAAGCAAGCCGCCTAGAAATAACCACGCAAGCCGTAGTGAAGTTGGGATGTAATCCATCCATACCAGCACTGTATTAATTTTAAAAAAGCAACATTTGTACAGGAATACCAGTCAATCACGTCGTAATTACAAGTATGGTTGTCAGTTATGAGTTAAACAGTTTCTTACACGAACGGAACTAAACATAGAACAAGCTGCATTTAAAAGTTTACGTTGGAGTAAAAACACAAAGAACAATAAAAAATCGGAAGAAAGCGTTGTGACCGAGATGCATGCAAAGAGGCGTAAGTAGGTACAAACTGTACACCTCGCTGAGCTAGAGTGCCAAGACGCAGTGGTATTGCTTCTTTTTCCCCCCGTTAGAGTAAGTTAGCTTCCAGTAACAGATGTAGTTAGTTCACAGACACAGAATATACACGAGTAATCTCATCCCGCTACGCTTCACTTGACAACGACTCGAGAGGAAAAAAAACAGGTCCTACGAGATACCTTTCCTTGGGACAGCAGTAACACCAAGATCTTCCAAACCCCATGCAAGTGGCAGGAGAGTTCGGTGATGGAGAAGAAAAATAAAAGAAATCATTTGTTCGTCAGCTCTCGACAGCATCTCCTGGAGGTGAGCTGCTTCCAAAAGCGGTTCTCCCTCACCGCCCCTCGGTGGTGACAAGCAAAAGAAGCGACGGGCCGGTCGGGCGGCGTGGGTCGGTCATTCCAGCGGCATGGCCGAGTCCGGCGTTGGGTACGGAGGCCCGCTCGCGTCGGAGGGCTTCGATGCACCCGTCCCGCCGAGCAGATGGAGACGGCGAGGCTGGGATGCGGGCAGGGCTCCCGTCTCAGATCGCGCTAGCCATGCCGGTGGCACGCATCCCGACAGCCGCCGGCGCTGGCAGCGCGGCCCTCCGCTACCTTCTCCCAGCAGGCTCTGCCGGGCGAGGGAAGGGCAAAGCCCCGGGCTAGGGGAGGGGACGATCTTTTGGAAGCCAGCTCATCTGAACAACAGTGTTTCACCGAACACACAGGCATTGGAAATTCGTAACAGAGCGGAGTTTATTGCAGTGTTACCTGTCCAGGTGTGTATTTTACAGTTACACACTTCCTAAAACTACAATAAAGCTGTGGTGTTTGGTACGAGTATTTCAGAAACCGGCACCGTTCCTAAGGTTGCGGTGCCACAAAAAACGGACACAAGAAGAGCTGCGCTCCCCCAGCTCACCCCAAGCACTCGCCTCAGCTCACTGCAGCACTGACACGAGGCTCATCGAGCTGCAGGAGACAAAGCTCCGCTTTGGAGCATTAAAACATTTTTGCTCTCGTGAGAAGCCTTCCCATTTAAAAAAAAAAAAAAAAAAGCTTTAAGGAATCAAGAGGGAGATTTTCCGGAAAACTGTCACACGAAACACTTTAGCTCCTCCCTGGTGCCCGTTTGCTTGTTAAAAGTCAATCGAGTGTCCCTTTGTTGTCACACGCACAATTGGGTTCCGTTCATAAAGTCCAGAAATGTAAATGTGCCTGTGTGGAATATTACAGCAGGTTTCAAAGCCGGAGGTGCTCGTCTGCACTGTTTAATAGTCACGAAGGCGGCAAGGTAAGATGAGACACCTGCTAAAGCAAGACTATGCTAAGGTACTGAGAGCGTAGGTGACATCCGTTTCTTTCCCTGGGGTGTGTGTGGGAAGAGTGGGGGTGATGGCCAAGGGTAAACCAAAATCCTAGGCTAGAAGCCGCTCGCGTGTCTTAGACAGAAGATTGCACTCCGAAAGTCTCCTGAGAGGCGTACACCATGTAGAGGAACCCATCCTCGTCCTTCTCGCTCTCGTACACCTCGGATATGGGCGTGGAAACGCTGACCATGCTGTGTCCGTTCACCAGGAGGAAGAACGCCTGGTTGGAGTTCAGCTGCAGGCGTCGCCTGTTGGGGGGAGGTTGGGGAGCGGAGGGGAAGGAGGTTCACAGGGATGACCATGCATTTCCACCCACATGAGCAAAGGCTTTAGGGCAGCTGGCAAAACAAAGTCCTCCACCACCGACAGCACTAAGATGTCCCCACCCAAAGCAGCCCTGCCACTGGAGAAGGCATTTGCTTCCCACCTCAAGCTGGTATTAAGTTCATCTGCTAAGTCCAGTCACATGCTGAGAGAAGCCCTTATTTCACTGGAAAAACTACGCTCTAGAAGGGCATTAACCTGAAGCGAGAAGGAAGAGGTACTCATAGAATCATAGAATCGTTTAGGTTGGAAAAGACCCTTAAGATCATCGAGTCCAACCGTTAACCCAGCACTGCCAAGCCCACCACTAAACCATGTCCCTAACACCACATCTCCCCATCTTTTAAATCCCTCCAGGGATGGGGACTCAGCCCCTGCCCTGGGCAGCCTGGGCCAGGGCCTGACAGCCCTTTCGGGGAAGAAATTTTTCCCAATACCCAACCCAAACCTGCCCTGGCGCAGCTTGAGGCCGTTCCCTCTCGTCCCATCGCTTGTTCCTGGGGAAAAGAGACCGACCCCCCCGGCTCCAGCCTCCTTTCAGGCCGTTGCAGAGAGCGATGAGGGCTCCCCTCAGCCTCCTCTTCTCCAGGCTGAGCCCCCCCAGCTCCCCCAGCCGCTCCTCCCCAGCCTTGGGCTCCAGCCCCTGCCCCAGCCTCGCTGCCCTGCTCTGGCCACGCTCCAGCCCCTCCATGGCCGCCTTGGGGTGAGGGGCCCAGCGCTGAGCACAGCACTCGAGGGGCGGCCTCACCAGCGCCCAGTGCAGGGGCATCATCACCTCCCTGCTCCTGCTGGCCACGCTGTTCCTGACACAAGCCAGGATGCCGTTGGCCTTCTTGGCCACCTGGGCACACTGCTGGCTCACGTTCAGGATGATCGCTGTACAACCAGCAAACACGCAAGGCCCGCGGGACCGCCAGCTTGCAGCTCAGCTCAACAGCGTCTCACTGGAGATGCAAACCCAGGCTGACCTTGAGAGATCTGCGTGAAGACGGGGAGAGCTTCCACGGGAAGGCCCTGGACCTTCTACACTCACTTTGTCACCAGCTCTGTAACGGCCTGCGTTTGACCTTTGGAGCATCTTGCCCCCTCTTCTCCTCCCTCCCAGGAGAAGCGTCGTGGGAAGGGCAGAGAGCGACAGACTTCACAGACTGCGTGGCACAGTGAACATCTAACTTTGGGGCTTCCCTTGGATCGTTCGCTCCGGTTGGGAGGAAAGAGGTATTTCTGCTAAACTGCTCCTGGAAAGCAGGTTTGCAGAGAGGAGCGCTCTTACTGCTTCATAAACCAAGTGAGCAGGAGGCACTCCGAGATGTGGAGAGCAACCAAAGGGAGAAGGAAAGAACAACAGGTCAGAAGAGCTTCCCGCCGCTCTCCCTCACTGCTGAGGGGCGGCAGCAGCTGGAAACAAGGATTTATTTACCCTCCCAGCCACAGCCCTGGAAAGGGACCCTTCCAAAACCAAGCTCCATCACTCCAGAGCCAGCAGGCCGAGAGCAGGCAGCAGCGATCCGAGGGCTGGGAAGGACAGGCTTTGCTATGCACGAGAGGAGCTGGCTGAGGACCAACTCCCGCTGGTACCAAGTCACCTATTAACAGCGAAGCCAAAGAAAAAAGGTGGGGAAAATCCCTCAGCTTGCTGTTAACCTTTTCGCCCAGGGCCTTCAATGTTCATGAGAAATTCTGGAAGACTCGAGCAACCTGCTTCCCGCTTCCAAAACCCTCTCTCACTTTCTTACTCATGGAAGAGCTGGGATTTGCTTGCGACAGACAATTTTCGTCCAAGCCTCGGAGGCGGGGAGCTGTTTGGATATGTGGGACAACTCTCGGTTTTAACAGCTTGTGGCCTCCAAGAGCTAGCTCCCTGCTACACCGTGACCAACAAAAAGCAAACTCTGGTTTGCCGTTAACTTCCAAGTTTACCGCTTGAGAACTCTTACTGATCGAATATTCCTTCTTGGCGTTAAGCCAGGAGAAACGCCCTTCTAGCAGAATTTCTGACCGCAATTTTAGACCACACAACTTCCACTCCATGGCTACTTCCCCTTTGCCTTTTCTTGTACGCGAAACTCAAGCACCAGAGTGGAGCAGTACTCAAGCCACGGTCTGTGCAAACAGCTGGGACAAGAAGACACTGGTCTGAACGTGTGTTTTTCAGGCCTCAACGCTGCCATTGAGGGAAACCTCATCTCACGATCAAAGGATGCCAACATCAACCCTAAGCAACAGCTCGGAGCTCTGGCTATGAGCCCAAACTCCCCCTCCAGTGGGTGGGAAGAGGCAGGCGCTCCGGAGAGGGACTCCCAGGCAGAACACCAAAAAGGCATCCTAAAATAGCCACGCAGAAAGCGCTGGGGCCCTGGGCCAGAGGCACCCGTGTTAAGAGAGGGATTCACAGCCCCAGACTCCCTCCTACATCTCTGGGAACCCATTATTTCTCTTGAAAGCAGACTACCAGCTCAGCTCTTTTCAGAGGTTTTTTCCCAGCAAAGCCAAATGAAGAGCACCTTCTCATGAATCTGTCCTAGTGACGACATCAAGCGCTCGTTAGGTGAACCTCCCATTTAAAGAGTTCCCAAATGCATACACCAGGTGGGGAGTTAACAAAGAATCATAGACTGAGGTTGATGCAGCTTACGCTGAAATCCCAGCATACTACCTGATGATTTTGATTAGCTCGCTCATGTTGACGTGATCTGGCACCAGGAACTTGGTCTTATCCAAAACTGGAAGCTGCTTCTCTCCCTTGTACCTTTCAATGATCACCTAAAAAGAAACACAAAAAGAAAAGAGCCGAAGATGTGAAAAGCAGGAACTTTGCTGTGCTCTGGTGCCCTCATCTCCCCCTTCCATTTTACACACAGCAAAGTACAAGCATTTACGCTAAACTCCATTTCCCTTCACGTGTGAATGCAGCATCTCGAAACTCAAAAGGCACATTTATATTTATCTTCACCTGCCCCTCTTGTTCTGTTTGCAAGAGTCACTGCACAAAGGGGTAACAAACAGGGATTTAACAGCAAACACCCACAGCTTCGGTGCAGTTTTACAACAGTTCATTTGCTGGAATCATTTAATCCAGCACTGAACCACCCAGCAACAAGGAAACCCAAGAAAAGACGAAGCACACTTCCCTCTAACGCATTACAGTGGCTGACGAGGGGCTTGGGCTGCTATGGAAGTCTGCAAACTGAACCAGTTTTCACTAGAATTTCTCCCGTTTCAGGCCATCTCTTTCTAAGAACTACACCTCCAGATTAGTAAACTATTCCATTCACCTTCCATGGTTACTCTAACGCATGAAAGAAAGCTACTTTGGAAGGGTATAAAGCCTCAAAGGAGAGAATTTCCTCCTCCTTAATCTCAAGACAGCATGCTTAGGAACCAGTAATTCCGTCAAGATTGTTATGTAGTAACTACTTAATTCACAAGGAAATTGCAGATTTGCCAATTTAAGTAGCACCTTGCCCAGCAACTGTATATAGTTCCTGCTTTTAAGAAATGATCTCAGAATTCGTGCGCTCCCGTTGCCACAGCTGTGTGGGTTTTGTTGTTTTTACATCAACGGTAGCTACGTGACACCATTCACTTGGATCATTTCCATGCTCACGGGGTCTGGCTGTGTTGATATTCAAAAGTTGCACAGGTGAAGAGATATTGAGCCAATTTAATTTTATCAGAGAAAGACTTCCTTACACCAGTTTAAATAAATGCTGGCTCATTCTGGAAAGAAAACCAACCTTATTTTTAAAAAGCTAGACCATAACCAATAGATAATATTTCCAACAGCAAGATGAAGGATGTTGACAGCGCAGGAGGGATTTACCATCTAGCGTGACATTGCCATCTTATCTCATCCAGAACTGCTAATGATAATAACGAGGCAGTGACTCAAGCTAGGACGTGGACAGGCGACCACAGGAAGCCTCCAGGGATCCCAGCAGGCCTCTGCCATAGTTGTGAGTTTGCATCACTGCACCTTCAGGAAGGTACCTCCGAATTTTTGCTAGTAATATGCCCATGGCTGACTTAAAAGGAGAGCTTTGCTATAAATCAATGGCTTTCAATCTGTGGTCACAGAGCTTGGGGACTACAGCTACGTGATCTGTGAGAGGTGGGTGAAAAAGCAATCTTCTGTCAGGAAACAGATTTGTTAGGAAAGGGCCTTTTGGGAAAACTGCGCAGTCCAGAAAAGTCAGAAAATCTCTGCTATAAAATATTACTTGTTCCCATGCCTAACAGCATAGTGAAACAGCAGCAGCAGCTTCGAGGTGAAGTGCTTTAAAGCTAAAGGGAAACTGAAAACCTTTTGGTTTCTATTTGACATGGAGGCAACAACTGCTTCTGTTAATGAACTTGCGCTGGAACTGCAGACAGTTTGCAGTTTGTTCGCGGAAGAATTTCCACTCGCAGGGATCCCCAGCTCTCACCACTGACAACCAAAGGCTGAGGTGTCCAATTAGGTTCTCTCTTCTGTCCCCCAAGATCTCCTGAGACTTTCCCTGTTCCACCAAACGGCCGTAAGGACGGCTGCATTCATTGCTTACTGCGGTGGCAGCCGTCACACAAAAGCCCACCAGTTGCGAAGAACTCATCAACAACAGATCGCAAACCATGCCTTTTGCTTCCCAAGATCCTTTGCATTTGTAACCTTGAGGATACCATAAATAAAAGAAAATCAAAATTCCTCTTTGAGGTGGCCCAACACTAGGTGGAGGGGTTTGACAGCCAAGTAGCATTCCTGGAAACCTCAAGCAAAGGCCCATTTCCCAGAAGGCAAGCGGCAAGCATTTCTGTCTTTCTCAGCACAGACTGGTGATAAAAGCTGTATCTGCCTCTACATGACTGTGTATTCTTCTTGATTAGCCTTTGCAGACTCCTTTTGGAGAAGAAAAACACTGCGATGAGAAGAGCTGAACGCTCAGGAGAATCTCAGAGCTCGGCCGGGGTGTGGTTTTCTTTCAAGTTACAACACACAACTTCAATACGCAGGAAACTCCGTTTCCTCCAGTCCCCAGCTAGCACCTTGCTCTACCACACTGACTGCTGGTTACTAGTTTGAGGATGTTTCTGAAATCCAGGCTTAACGGCCCTGAATGGCCAAATTTTAACTTGGTCTCATCAGGACAGCTCTTTTACAGGTTTCTAGCTACTAAAAAGAAGACGAGACTGGAAATTGAATGAAAAGAACCAGACTTACTGGTATTTTAGTTGGATGCTGATCTCGAATCAGTCGTACATCTTCCACTCTTTGCTCTGCAAGAGATTAAAAAAAAGTCTGTTCAAACATCCACACTGAATGCTATTATTACTTTATTTCTCCACCACTGAAGAGAGGAACTGCATGTTAGTAAAAGCCACAAAAGCAAATTCAGGCAAAGCAGGTTTCAAATGGGACAGCACTGTCACAAGTAAAACATCTCCTTTGACAGATGATACTTTGCTCTTTTACCCAAGGTGACAAGTACTGCCTGCACGCTGCCGGGGACTCCTAGAAAGTGTCAAAGGAGATGGGCCCACCCTCCCACCTCATTTTCTGCCCACTAAAGCAGACATTTAATCTCATAAATTTATAGCATCAAGTTACACCACCCAAGTTAATGACTAAATATCCTGTACTATTTCTGCGAGATCCCAGAAGAGGAAGCTGTCAACAATTACTTGAGACCTAAGACTAGCCGAAGCCTGGCAGCATCAGCTTACGCCGTGCGTTCTAATATTACCAAATTACAGCCTTCTGTTTTGATTATGCCGCACCCATTGTTGCAGGAGCTGTCGGTAGGTTCTTGCGTACCTAGACATTTCACCGCACTCTGCGCCAGTTTTCAGATAAAGTTCACCTCTCCTCAGACATAAATATTAATAGCACAGATATTATAAACCAGGCTAAAGTACACGTCCGAGCCAAAGTAAACAGACGCAGTTGCTTTTAGAGGCAGTTGCATCTGCTTATACCCTGCCTACTTTCAGATTCAGCGAACTCAATTTTAACCTCCAGTTCTTTTCAGCGGGCCGGGGCTTTCCAGGCCGTTTCCATCTTATAAACACCTCTCGGAGAGAAGATTTAGTGTTGCATCACAGCTTTAACAGACATCTACCTAGCTCCCTAGGTGCTGCTCATGGGAGAGGAAGAGCTTAGATCAGCAGCCATCAGCCCAACTCATTGCTGGTATGCTAATGCCCGGGACACACTACCTGTCCCGTCACCCAGCAATAACATCACTCAGCTCTCCATTAGTCCATATTAAGTTTGTGTGCATGAAACACATCCGTGCGCCTTTTCATGAGCCCAGTAAGGAAACGCAACTCACGTGAATCACGGTTTTAAGCTGGAGGTGAATCAAGCAGAACTAAGGCAAGGAGTATGCAAAGCCTTCACCTGACTGCGAGACCGAGAACCCGAAAGCCATCCTGCTTCACAGCCCACACCCCAAGCCACGCTCTTACAGACCAGCACTAATGCTTCAAGGGCAGAGATTGCTAGCTAATTAAAATACTTTTTAAGATTAACCAGAAACAAAAGAGACACGGGGAGTGAATGAGACCAACCGTCAACCTAGCAAGCACAGAGAAGTTTGACTAACTTTTCAGCTGAGACAGGCTTGTTCACGGCAGCGTTATTCAGCAGAACTCCTTGGAGTAGAAGGAACATAAACGGGACAAATCATTGAGATTATTGTATATGGCGTGTTCAAAATCAGGCTTCAGTCAGCCACAGATAAACACTGTTCTCTGACGACATTAGCTGCAGCGGCAACTGCTTGGCTGCCATCCTAGCTGAACTTAATACCTGCAACAGAGGCTGCTGACAGGCGATGGGGTCAACAACATTTTTGGAAGACTCGAAGAAAAGGGGCGGCTTAAACACGGACTCTGATAGATCAAAATTATGTCCGCTTCAATGCGGAGAACAGCTCACGTTTAACAGAGGAGCGAAGGCGAGGGTGGGCACACCAGAAAGCTCTCTTAAGCAGCTTGACTTTAACCCAAAGGCAGAAGGAAAAGAAAATCTGGATCAATTACTTCCACCAGTTCCATTTTACGTACGAGATTTTATAGTTCGCGCAGAAACAGGTTACGCTGCCAGTTCTTGTTACCCTTGGAGCATTTCAGCCTACCTCACCAACACACACAAACAGATATTGAGCTCTTTGATTGCTTTGGTCCCAACCTAAGCACAGAAAGAAGTGTTGGCACCGCTCTATCAAGGCTGCTCCTTCTAGAAAGGGACTAATCTCATTTCCCCAGCCATCATTACACAGCTCTTTTCGATGCCTTGCTAGTTTTCAGTAACGACACGGAGACAGGAGGCACGCATCCCCGTCCACTCGCAACTCCCCGAGTGGAGAATTCCTCGCACCGTGCCAAGGACCAAACTGCAAGCGGAGCTTTATTCTCCTGTCAATAGCGCAGACGAAGCCGGACACTGAGCAGACACGTCGGGAGGGAAAGGCAGGCCCAGCTCCTGGCACGCAACGCAAAGTGATGTTTCCAGGCTCCTGGGAATTTTGCAGTGGATAATGGACGATGTGGAGAGGCGATCTCCCCACCCCAGCTCCCCTCGCCGCCGCCCTGCCGCCCACCTCCACACCTCGCTCACCCCCCCCCGGACACCCCAAGAAAAAGACCCCCGCCCCAAA